TAAACATCAGTTTAAGAGTCTCAAGATGTGTCGGACAAAACAGAGTGACCAAAGTTTAGATGGTAGTTAGCAAGCCAGTCATGGAAGATGTGAGGCTACAGGTCAGGTGATCAGACTGGTAGGAAGGTGAAAGATTATTAAAATAAATTTCAAATGACTGAAATACTCTCAACTGGTACAATTATTTGTTTAATATATAGTAAAGCCTAAATTTGTCTAAGAAAAAAAATCTGCACTGTTACCCTCATTAAAAAGCTAAATTAATATATTTGAATATGCAAATTGAAATCTCCCTCATGATCTCCTGATATTCCAAGCAACTAGATTGTTATCTAATTTTAAACTAACTAGCATTTGTCAGGTAGACACACGTGGCATTTCCATATCCGATACAATTTGCATTGTCAACACTGGCTAAAACTGTTACAACCAAACATATATATATACATATACATTTATATATATATATATATATATATATATATATATATATATATATATATATATATATATATATATATATATATATATATATATATATATATATATATATATATATATGTATATATATATATATATATTATATATATATATATATATATATATATATATATATATATATATATATATATATATATATATATATATATATATATATATATATATATATATATATATATATAATGTTTGGTTGTAACATTTTAGCTAGTCGATGTTAATATATATATGTATATATATACACACACAGCAACAACCATAATTTTTGTTATTGCTATGATTAGCTAAGTTAGATAGCCATTGGCTTATTTTATCAGTCTTTTCACGGTGGCTTAGTGGTTAGCACGTTCGCCGCTCACCTCCAGGGTTGGGGGTTCGAGTGGCCCTGAGTTTGCATGTTCTCCCCGGGTTTCCTCCGGGTACTCCGGTTTCCTCCCCCAGTCCAAAGACATGCATGGTAGGCTGATTGGCATGTCCAAAGTGTCCATAGTGTATGAATGGGTGTGTGAATGTGTATGAGAGAGTGCCCTGCGATGGATTAGCACCCTGTCCAGGGTGTACCCCGCCTTGTGCCCGATGCTCCCTGGGATAGGCTCCAGGTTTCCCCATGACCCTGAAAAAGGATAAGCGGTATAGAAGATGGATGCCAAACTGAATTTAGTGTTAATAAATGTAACTAATCTATGCCATTGGAGTTGAATTACAAATCACACTCTATGGGTTCTGTAGGATGAGAGAGGAAAGTGAAGTGAATACGTGGCTTAGCGCAAAACTGATGAAGAGTGGAAGGTGAAAGAAAAGCTGAAAAACTGAATTTTGAACTAAGTCTTCTTTCTACCCTGAAACTTCTTCTATCCTTAAATTGCTCTCTCTCTCACTCTCTCTCTCTCTCACACACTCTCCCTTAGTGAAGACATCATCTAGTTTAAAATTGTAGTAATGAATGTTCCGTAAAGCACTCTTGAGGAGAGAGTAGGAGAAAAAGACACACACACACACACACACACACACACACACACACACACACACACACACACGATACAGATGCTAATACAGCTACATATTGAATTACTTGTTTTTTATTAACATATGCAATAATGTATGGCTATGACAAGTATGAAAAGTATACATTTTCCCACTTGATTATCAAATGAGCTATGGTCCACTTATCTTTATGTTAATAAGGTTGTCTTATTTTATTTTAAAATGTAATATAATTTTTTACAAATTAATTGTCATTTTGAATTTTTTAAAATGAGCAATCAAAATGTAACACGTATCCATATACGTGACCCTTTCCATGACATTTGTGCATTTTCTGCTGTTGATCCAGCTTGAAGAGGAACAGTCCAGTGATGATTTTAGATCAGATATGAAGTGAATGCAAACTGTCTTGTAAAAAAAAAAAAAAATCAATGAAGATCCTAAGCTTCAGCATTTAATTATATTTGTGATTAGTATTGATTACGAGTTGGACTGTCCTCTATGTCATGGGTAAAACAATTCTTGAATATAAATATGCTAGAGATGCATTCCCTGGAGTCCTTTTTCAGACTTGTTTTGATTAAGTGACATCTTTATATATATATTTTTTAATTGCAAGAAATGACATTACTATTCTGAACATAGTGGTGAGATCACTTAATTCTAGAGTAGTACCAACTGTTAAAAACAAATTTAAAGCATTTTAGACATTTTTTAATTTCTAACTTTCATACACAATAAAAGGTAGGTTTAAGACAGTGGTTCTATTATAATAATTTATTTTATTCCTGTTAAACTTTATAATAAATCTTTTATTGTCATGCTTTTTAATGTGCCATTGGAAAGAGTAAATATTCTGCTTGGTATTGTTAAAATACACAATAGAGTGATGCAGGGATGATGTATATTTGTAGGCCAACCTGGAAGTTAGCATCACCTTGGTTCTCTAGCCAAAAACCCAATAGCATTTTTCCATTGGCTTTTGGATTATTACAGAAAATAAGCACTGTGACCAATAAATGTTTATGACTCTTACACACTCTCTTCATCTAGTCTTCACAAATGAATAAAACTTTTATGAATTGTGAAGCCTAAATACAATCGGCAGAAGTAAAAAGCTAAAGTTAGGCTATAAACAAACTACACCACGGTGTAAGCTTCTGATAGAATTTATAGCACTACAATTTGAAAAAACACTACAATTGGAAAATGCTATAAACTGATAAATCTACAAGTTGAAAGGATTCAGATAGAATAGTTTGCAAGAGCACAAGTATAAACACAACGAGGCTGTAATAGATGAGTTTTCCTGTTTGGTGTGATGACGTTTAATGTTCCTGACAACCTCTTGTTAGCCACTTGTTAGCAACCATCTTTTTCAAGACACGAAAAAGCTTTTAAAAAATCACCAAAAATAATTGAATTTAACCCAAAACCCATTGAATTCTGGAGGATGGAACCGGAAGTGCAAAAATGTGGTACCATCCTCAATAATCGGTGTGAGCTATTCTTGCAGATTGTACTCATCTACTGTTCTGTGAATTTAAAATGCTTCTTTCTGGTATAAGTTATAGTATGCCTAAACTTAAAAGTAATCGGTACAGATGTTCTTTTATTCCCACTGCTGTAAGTTTTTAAGTTTGTAAGAAGTCAGAATGTTGTGTTTGCTGTTTGTGTGTTTTGTATGATATGGTAACAAATGTTATGCTGCACTAAAAATCACCCTTTGGGCTTATAATATACTTCAAACTTGAATCTCAATGATCTGTAGACTGCACCATGTGGGGCCATCCTCAGCAGCATGGGACTTCCAATTGATGAGAACTCCAACCAGAAGTAGGGCATCAGGATGGACCAGGCAGGTCCAATATATTAACATATATTTAAATATTTTTTATGTATTTATTTTCTCACTTTGTTTGGTTTTGATTTTGTCTTGCATTAGCCTTTTTTGTTTTTCATTGTATACTGAAACCAGCTCTGTGTACTGTCCATTTAGATTAGTCCTTTTAGATAGTGGAGCTTCTGTGGTAGAGTGAAAGCGAAGGCCAAGATATTTTCGATGTGTGTGTGATCTATAGTTTTTACTGAGGCAGATTGTCTGTACGCACTGAGAGATTAGTTGCATCTGGGGCTTTAAAGAACACGGCAAATTGTGGCCTTTCTTTAGTGTGCCTGATAAGGCTGTAAATGAAGGGAGTCTTCTTATCAGCCACACTGCTAGCCATAAATCACAAATGCCTGCTTCCTGCTGCTACCCCTGGTGGTTCCTATCTGCGTGGTAAGGTTGGGGAGAGCCCGACATTACCTCACAACAAGAACACACACACACACACACACACACACACACACACACTTACTTCTGCCCAACACATAACCAAACAGTGTACAACAGTGTACTCTTCTTCTATCCCTTGCTCTTTTTTTTGCCTCTTCACTTGTCTCTGTGTGATTTTGCAGGCCTTCAAAGAGAAGAATCATTTCCCATTGGAGTGCTATCAAACTTTAATCCACCCACACTTTAGTATTTTTATTTTAATGAATGGGATGAGAAAACAACATTTATTGGGATATTGTCACTCTTTTGTCTCCCTTGAACTAAAAGGAAAATAAAGAGGATCGCATGAGCCTTAATGAGCTTGTGTAAGTCATTCACTTGTTTAATGATTTCTCTCTCTTTCTTCCCCCTCAGTAATTACCGCCAGCCTTCATGCCTAGTTTAGTCGTCTTTTTGCCTCCTCACAGCCCTTTGAATTCTATTCATCATAGTGCATATACTACGCACAAATCACTTTCCCTTTTTTATTTATCAGCATCCTGGCCTCTCTAATAGCAGCCTGGGTGTTGTTATACACAATTATACACACAGATTGTAGGAGTATACAGTTCATGTTCAGCTCCACAATGCTTAGCATGACTGATACACAATGTGTTTTAGTGAAGGCCCTAGCTAGCAGTAGGTAAGTCCATGTGCATTCATCTGTGTGTAAATGAGAGATCTGCTGTTAGTCCTTTAGGCCAGGTCACAGCACTGGAACAAGCAGCTTAAGATAATATCGCTGTCAGCCCTGCCTGCAGTATGACTGTCGATTCTGTGGTCAAGAGAAGAGAGACAGGCAAGACTGTTGACAAACAATCTTGAATTAATTAGTGGTTAATTATATGTTAAGCCAACACACGCCAGTGAGTCACATGCTTATGAGGCCTGTGGGCTTTAGTGCCTCCTTATCAAGGTCAGACGTCACAAATCAGACAGCTAGCAGATGATGAGGGTCATGGGGTAGGTCATCTCACCTATTTGTCTTAACACTTAATTCAGTAAGTATCGAACAGGGACTGGCATCACTTAAACAGTCAATAAAATTCAAATTGTCCTAAGGTCTTTGTCAACTACATGTATGCTATCAAGTTAATACTATTTTATTCCTAGTTGTTATGTATTGTACAATTTTACAATATTTAAAACTGGAACATCTTAGTTTCAAATAAATTAAATTGTATTCTTTTTGTACAGCATTTAGGGGGTGGCTTAGTGGTTAGCACATTTTCTTCCTACTTCTGTGGTTGGGGGTTCAATTCCCACCTCCCCATTGTTCTCCCTGTCTTTTGGGCGTTTCCTCTGGGTACTCAGGTTTCCTTCCCAGTCTAAAGGCATGCGGTGTTGGCATTTCTATATTGTTCGTAGTGTGTGAATGTGTGTGCTTGTGCAATATGATAGGTTGGCGCATCATCCAGGGTATCCCCCACCTTGTGCCCAAGTCCCCTGTGACAGGCTCCAAGCTCCCCATGACTCTATGTATGATAAATGGTATGGAAAATGGATGGATATAGATAATTTTCTTTACTTTTTAAAAAAAATTTTTTTACAGCATTTCAAATTCAAAAATGTATGACTGGATTTATTTAATATGTGGAATCCAAACTCTGTGTTAGTAGTAATTGTTGATGTCTACAAATAATTATGATACCACAGCACTGTTGAATTCTTGAATCTGATTGGTCAGTAGGTCTTTTATTGATTTTCCATTCCAGCAGCTCTGACAATTTTGGCAGCTGTATCATTCAAATGACAGGATTGTTTTAATATATACTGATTGAAGTGGTGAAGATTTCTCTATAGGAGACATTTATTTAACATTTATTTAAGGTGTCCAAATTTTATAACTTCAAGAACAAAAAACAAGAATGTTTGGTGAGATTATGGTCGCTTATATGTGTTAACATCAGTGAACACAAAAGGTAACTTCTTTCATGGACATTAAATGGAACAATAAATGGTTAAAATTATTTAATTAATAAATTCAAATTGTAATTGTTGGCAAATTGGTAGAGTATAAGATATTTAAAACACTTCGGATGTGATATTATTGAAAAGCAATCAACTTGGGGGCAGTAATGGCATCAGACCTCTCTGTCATTGATTATTTTCCTTTATACAACAGATAGCTCTAGTCCACTTATTTGATTAGATGAGTGGTGTTCCAAGGGTGCTTATATTTTGTACAAGCACACTGGGATATTTCACTGTTTGTTTCACTCCACTCATCTGTGTTCACCCTAAAATTCCAATTCTATGATTCTACCAATTCTACCGGAAGCACCTTTAATTTGATGGGAATGTACAAATCATTGTGTGCTAGCCAACATGCTATAACGTGACTGTGGTTTCTTTGGGATCTATTTCCGCTAACGGAGCAAAAATAAACAAAACAGTTGGCCATATTATGTCTAAAATGTTAAATAATCTATATTAATTTCTTGTTTATACAAAAACAATATCACATTCACAATCATACAGTTACACTGAATATTGGCAAGGCTGTGATTAGCTACAGCACTTGGCCTGCAGCCTCCTGACCACAGCCGAATCACAGCCGTGCTGATATTCAGTATAACCACACACTTGCTTGTGCTGTATTGCTTAATTAACAACATGTCCTGTCATGTTTTATTCATAGTTTAGTTAGACGATCCTCTTTCTGGTTTATATGCTCTTTAGGGAACTAGGTATCTTTGTATAAATATAAATGTATTAGTTCGGGATAATAAGTAGTAACTAAAACTTTTGGTAGAATACTCCAATATCTGGACACTTTTGTTAGATTCAGAACGAGAAATTACTAGATCAATGTTCTGATATCTCTCAGTAGCTGCTATTGAACTCTGAGAGTTAGACAGAAAATGGATTTAGTATGCTGTTATAGTGCTTTAAACATATAAAGGGTAGAATTTTCAAACCTATCTAATAACCACACAACCCAATATTACAGTTTTCCATATTTTCTGTGATTTCTGTACACATTTTCTAAGAGACATGTAACACTATAGCAGCAGTGCAAGGAACAATGATTTATTTAGGGAATACAGTGGCCTCTTAATAAACTTAACATATTAAGAGTTCTTCTTCACTTTCAGTGGACCACATAGAAATACAGTTTATAGGTGTAGCACAAAGCTAACTGGAAAGTTGCTCCACAATTTGCTCCATGGAAAACTATTTTAGATTTGCATGTGGAATACCACCTATGTGTGTTACACCTGATGCAGCATTTAGCATCACTATGCTAGTTTATTCTTTTAAGTATAATAAAATTGCCATGTTGAAGGAGAACTTAAAATGTGAAAAGGACATTTCTCTTTCTGTAGTTAATAAACAAATCAATAAACACATAAGCAAAATAGTTTTTTTTCTGAGTGAACTTTAACCCTTGGTGAGTGGAAGTAATATAAATCAATCGAAAACAAGAGAGCAGGGTAAAGTCTCTTCTTTATAGAAAATAAATAATTAATTAAAATGGTTGGATTGCTCTTAATAGTGGCCACATCAGATTTTGCTGTTCATTTTTCCATCTATTCTTTCCTTATTCCGTGTGACTTTCACAGTAGAGACCGACCTCTGAACAGAGTGCCGGCATATTCCCATAACCCTACTCTCTAAAGCAAGACGAAACAAACCAAAGAGCAGGCAATTTCATTGTTCACTGATATCTTTAATTGTGATGAGAGAGCGGATTATGTAGATTTCGGTAAGCCTTCCTGACAAGACGTGTTTGTAAGTGAACGGGCCGAACAGGAATGTGTGTCAGTGTTTAGAGCTTAGTGAAACATTGCGGCTATAATAGGGTAATCCTGGAGTCATGGGATCCCTTCTCCTATCCTTCTGCCAAAAAGTAGATGTATACTGGTCGCCTATTGTGTTCCCTGGTCTTCATGCAAATGAGGAGGAAGAGGAGGTGACAAAGATGGCCTGTTCACTAACTGCCCTTAAGCCTAAGCTGGCGTTAATAGAGCTGATTCCCCTCAGCCTTTGACTACACTATATGCAGTCTACTGAATAGTCAGGATCAAATATCTCTTTCATTGTTGCCAATACAGTACAGATGAGGGTCACTGCAGTACAAACCATATTTTTGTGCATACACCATTGACAATGGAAAGCATGCGAGAAGATGTTTAAAGAGCTGGAGAGATGCCAAAAGGGAAAAAAAATCCCTGCTTATTTATTGCCAGTATATAGTTAGAAGCCATAAAAAGAGGTGTGGTTCGGCAGAGGTGAAACTCTTGCTACTTATGTGCTATTCGCCCAAGGTTTTTAGGTGCAGCATGAGAGGGTGGAGAAGGGGAGGGATAGGAATAGAATGGCGTGAGAAAGAAAGCTGTGTGATCTGTGTAAAGGATAAACAAAGAAGTTAAACTAATTACTGCTGGAGGTCAGCATTCCAAATGCCTATTGATAAGCATAGGGCGTTGTAGCAAATTTATGGTGGTCACACTTATTTAGCAACCTGAATAGGCAATTTCTCAGTGAATCTGGAGAGAAAAGAGGACATGGAAAGTTCTGAAGAATTGATGATGGACTCTTTGAGAGTGAGCAAAATAAAATTGACCATGAAATCCTTCGCCTGGAATTAAATTGGGTGGAAGGAGAGATGAAAAAAAGGGGGAAAGGTGTAAGGTGTGACTTATAAAAGTGGGTTTGTGCAAATGCCAAGGTTAATTTGCACATCATTTAAATAGATTATTAAATATGAGAGAATCAGTTTAAAGGAAAGGAACTTTAATAGATTTGTATGTATCATTTAGTGGGATGAATGCTCTGCATATCCTGTTGAATGCAATTTCAAAGGAAATGCTTCTCACAGCAAATATTTTTTAGACTAAAACTAAAACGTGACAGAGCCATATCACCCTGCAGTTCTTGGCTTTTTTTTTTATCACTGAAGTTAAGCAGGGTTGAGCCTAGACAGTACCTGGAGGGGAGACCTACAGTGGAAAACTAAGGTTGTTGCTGGAAGTGGTATTAGTGAGACCAGCAGGGGGCACTCACCTTGAGGTCTGTTTTGGTCCTAATGCCCCAGTATAGTGACGGGGACACTATACTTTTAAAAGCTCTGTCCTTCAGATGAGATGTTAAACCGAGGTCTAGGACATGTATAATAAAAGAGTAGGGGTGTAACGCCGGTGTCCTGGTGAAATTCCCCCATTGGTCCTTCTCTATCATGCCCCCCTAATACTCCCCAACTCTGGGTTAGCTACATCATTCTTTCCTCTCCACAAATAGCTGTGTGTAATGTGTGGTGGACGTTCTGGCACACTATGGCGGCCGTCACATGCATGTAGATGCTACACATTAGTAGTGTTTTAAGGACCACCCCCCCAATACTACGTAAAGCACTTTGAACGTTCGAACCCCCAACCCTGGAGGTGTGAGGCAAACGTGCTAACAACAAATCTACCATGCACCCCTTTAGACCACATAACATGACAGGGAAATTTTTTCTTTAAAAAGTCTGTTTAGGTATTTCACATTCATGTTTTGTACCAATAACAATAATGTTTTATTGTTTTATAAATAATGTTTTACCATTTGTTTGAAAAACTTTCTTTAGGTACCTCTACCCCATATTGTTATTGTTCAGTGGTTTAATCTAAATTAATGTAAACATTAATCAAACTGTTACTCAGTCTGCTTACTAACAAATAAAAAAAGTTAATAAATAATTAAGGGTCACTTAATGTGGCTTATGGTTGTCTTGCTAGTAGCAGACACCTGGAGAACTGAGAGACTCGTACCTCTCAAAACCACACGGTACCTCTCAAAATACATATTAACATAAGGTGAAGACTTTAAAACAAGCCACAACCCTTAGAGGCCATTTGCAGATCAAGAGACAGAGCCAAACACAGGCAAAGTTCAAATAGATGCACCAAAACCAATTGTGGAATATTAGCTGGGAAGTGAAAAGGAGGAACTGACGAGGCTTTTTATTCCTGGCAGATGGAGTTCCGTCAAACCGTGAAATTTGGATACTTGGCAACTAAGGAAACAATTCTTGTTGGTGTGCTGAGCAGCCGAGCCATGAGTTGAGAGACAGGGTGAGAGAGAGAGAGAGAGAGAGAGAGAGAGGGGAAGAGGGAGAGGGAGGAGGAGGAGGAAAGAGAGAGAAGAAAGTCTCCTTAATTGCCTTCGGTCACCCACGCTGGCGAAATGGGTGCCACGCAGCTTAGAATGGAAGACCAGGCAAGAGGCGCAAAGGGCTGATAGATATTTTATCACTGAAGTTAACGCTTAATACATTTCCATTCCCCGA